ATGCTGAATGTTGGAAGTATAATTGGAATGTACAGAATATCAGTTCTGTATCCGCTTGTTAAGTGTGACGTCACACAAAATAGCTTCTGGGTCCAAGCGAATATCAAACTGTATGGGGAGATTCATCAAATGGTAATAATAAACATTTATAAAGCACTGTAATACTTTCGAAAATCACAAATGCAATATATACATCCATGCCTAATTTCAGATGGCCAGAAAGTGATCATTTTTAATAATTTGTAAAAATATTGGTAATTGCAATGCAGCAAGTCCAGAACCTGTTGTGTACGCCATGATTTTGTATAAAATTCACTTCAATGTGTGCAATGACTAAAAAGTGGTCATAAATGACTATTTTCTCAATTCAAATGAGAAGCGACTTGGACCTGGAAACAGTATTTTATATGTCATCGATACGTCACAACTTAATAATCGGATTAGTCATTGGTTTTTGTTATTGACTTTTAAATGTAGAGGTATTGGTCTTGACTAATTTCTATATTTATTCTAACTTTTAATTCTCTTTTGAAATTGATCTTTTAAACGTAAACAATTAAACTTAATTACAGCATGATCTTTACACAAATTGAAAATAACATAATTTTTTATGCTCTGCTGTTTATTATAATGTTGCGATGCATTCATTTACTTTACCTAAAATCATTACATATTTACAGTAATCCCTCTACTTCTGCTTAGTCCCATTATATATTTATTTTACATTTATTAATATATTGTCAATTTATAGATCATCATAACTCCCTCCCCATCCCCCCAAATTACTAAATTCATATGCAGATGTTTCATAGTAAATAAAGTTGAAATGGTCAGTGATATGTTGTGTTAATATTATGATCATTTACAAAGGATAGATTATACATATGCATTACAAAAAGCTGCAAATAAATTTGCAAACAGTTTAGCCTATTCAAATTACTAGCCAAAGAAATTGAATCAAGTTATCAAATCTCATTAACCTTTTCATCACTGTATAATTTAAAGATTCCGATTAAAGAGCAGTGAATGAATCTCTCGTTTCGATTTTTCATTTGATTACATTCCATAACAGAGGTGTCACTTTAAAAATCCAAAGATCTATAATAAAAACGTTTGAATGCTTTCCTAACTTTCTATGCTCATTTAAGACAAAATTAGTTGTTTAAAAGAAAACCCACCAAGTTCAACAGGTTTAGATGTAATTATTGCAGTTATTATTATCAATATTATTATTATTATTGTGTATATGTCTGTTCGAAAAGTCCAGTGTCGACTTTCGCTCTGCTTAAAATCGTGTGTACAGATTCTGTTTGGGAAACAGCATCTATTTATCACTATGTAGCGCATCTGACAGTCACGCACCACTACATGAACGGGCTGTTTTGAGAATTGCATAGGAGGTGCAACTGTGCCTGTAATGGAAACGAAAGGAATTCTTCTGTTTTTATATTTGTTTCAAAGTGTTTTCATGCCTCAATGAAATGAAAGCAAAGAACAGATTCACATTTAAGAGCAAGGGGCATCCCCTGGTGGTTCGGCGCTATAGGTTGCATATCGGTAATTTAATGTTTATTGCCACCCTTCATAGAAAGATTGAAAACACAGGAAAAATGGGAAAATACCTTTACGAGATGAAAGTGGGATAGAATTGTAAAAAACAGAAGAATCCCTGGAAAACAGGAGGGTTGACAGGTATGTAGATTATCATATGCAGAAATGAAAGTAACATATATAATACAATTATGGATTATGATTTTAGCATTTGTATGTAAATATTTGCATATATATGATGACCATTAATTGTGTGCAACCTTTTTTGAGTGAGGGTTGTGTTTAAAAGTATGTTGAGGGTTTGATGAAAAATAACATTATCTCAGTATATACATTAGGTTAATAATTGTGTATTAACCTACATGTGTATGTGCATGAAAGAGAGAAAGAGAGAGAGTGCAAATATATCATTTTGGTTCAGTTTATACCAAAAACAAAAACAGCCTGTTTAAAATTCCTACTGTAAGACAGAAACCACTGGCAGACAATAGTTGTTCCACAAACATTTCTCAACTCTTATTAAACGCTCACCAGTTGCTCGGTTGTCAATAACCCCTCTCGAGAGCCTGCCAGTCATCTTCCCTATGGAACCGATTGAAAACGCCCTCTCAGCTCCACACCAGTGGACACGTATGGCTCTGTTTCACTCAGAGGTACAAAAATCGAACCTCTCCAAAACGGCAAACCCCATGATGCAAGACCATCACAAAGACACGTTCTAATAAAAGAGATATTGAACAGGCCGCGGTGCCGTTATAAAAACATTAGGGTGATAAAAGCAAGGGCTCGGTGGTTGGATAAAAGTAGCAAAGTATAAATCATTGCTTTATGAGACGCGCCAGATTCCTTGGCACTGGCGGGGATTAGGGGATGATGGGTTGTTTTCCACTGTGGTCATCCGTCTGTGAGCTGGTTATTGTAGGCTGAGCGGGATTCTCCGTTGTTGCTATTGTCAGGGCGATAACTCACTCATGATCTGACTCTTAAATGCTGGAAGTGACTCAGACTCCTTGTCTTCTATGGCTTAGACTTCTTGTCACCCTGACAGACAAAAAAGAATATATTGGGTTTTGCCAATTTGATCAGCTCATTTTTTTCCACAGCTTGGTAATGCTACTGTGAAGATGAGCACCCAGTAGAGGAACAGTGGTATTATCTTTTAATGGTTTTCTACCTCTAAACAGTATCTTGTTGTCCATTATTCCATTGTTTTGCTGCCACATCTCTAGTCCTCTTTGCCCTTGGCAAGGCTCAAGTTCAACTCCCCGGCATTTTTAAGCAAAACATCTCTATGTATTTGGGTTACAGTGTAATTTTAGGCCTGTGCAATAAATACTGTATTGCTTCAGGATTGACTTTGCAATGTGTGCTCCTGCAATAGTCATATCAAATGATGTGAACAGGCAGAACAGTTAGAAATTCAGATAACACTTTAGTTTAAGTAACAATTCACACTGGATTACTATGATTATTACCTGTCTATTTTTAGGATATTAACTGTTTATTAGCACTTATAAAGTATGATCTTATTCAACATTCCTAATCCTTCCCAATACCTAACTATTAAAAAGTAGCTTTTTAGTACTTTATTGATCTAAAAGTTTTAGTTAACGCACTGTTAATGGTTTGTAAATAGTGTGAATTGCATATTAAAATAAAGTATGACCAACGTGGAAGTGTTTTGTAGATTAATGGCAAAGTTTAATAGCAGGTTGTCAATTGCATGTTGTTTTTATGGGATCGTTTACCCTAAAATGAAAATCTACTCACTGTTTACTCATCCTCACTTGGCCTCGAACCTATATGAGTTTTCTTTTTCTGTTAAACACAAAATATACTTTAAAGAATGTAAGTCAATGGTTACTAATTTCCAATTTTTAGACTCTTTAGTGTTCAACTGAAAAAAAGAAAGTCAAACAGGTTTGTGACAAGTGAAGGATAAGAAAGCGATGACACAATTGTCAGTTTTGGGTGTACTATCTCTTCAAGAGCTGTTTCTGTGCAAATAAAGTGAGTTTAAAGCATTCAGGCAGGCAAAAAGAAACAATACATTTTTAGCTTTGACAAAAATTAACTATATTTAATTTATACAACGAGGACCACGCAGTGTGATTTTACACTTAATTATTCAATTTCTTATCTAAATCTGCTGAAAAATAACATAAAGCATTGCACTGTTTATTTCTTTTAAACCTTTGTTCTATTTGTATTTACCCATGCTTGTAATTTGTGTATTTTCTGCAGATGTACTCCACAAAATCACTCCAATCAATCTGAAATGATGAATTCTTTTCAAATAGAGCTTTTCAAGTCATCTAGTGAAATTTACATATACAGTTGAAGTCAGAATTATTAGTCTTCCTGAAATATTAGCCCCCCTATATATATTTTCCCCATGGAAAGAAGATTTTTCTGACACATTTTTAAACATAATATTTTTAATAATTCATTTCTAAAAACTGGTTACTTTTATCTTTGCCATGATGACTGTACATACTATTATACTAGATATTTTTCGATTAACTAGTTTAATTAGTTTATGGGGCAAGTAAGGGTAATTAGGCAAATCATTGTATAACAGTGGTTTGTTCTGTAGACTATTCAAAAAATAGTGCTTTAAGGGGCAAATAATATTGAACTTAAATTGGTGTTATAAAACTAAATCTGCTTTTATTCTAGCTAAAATAAAACAAATATGACTTTCTCCAGAAGAAAAAAAAATATATATAATAGGAAATACTGTAAAAAATCCTTGCTCTGTTCAACATAATTTGGGGAGGGCTATTATTTAGACCTTCACTGTATTTATCGGAGGGGAAAAAAAAACACTATGTCAGTTTTTTTTTTTTTTTTTTTTTTTCTTTTTTTTTTTTGCTTGAACTGCATGTCAAGATTTGCAAAAGGGTTAGGGCAGGGGTCACCAACCTTTTGGAAACTGAGAGCTACTTCTTGGGTATCGTTTAATGTGAAGGGCTACCAGTTTGATACACACTTCCTAATAATAAACTTGCTCAATTATTATTAATAATTAATGATATTCATCTTTGTGAAGACACTGATCATGTTAATGATTTCTCACAATAGTTGTCAACAATGATTGGAAACAAATAAATATCAATATGCAACACATAATTTGTCTGAAATTGTTTTTAAAGTTTTTTAAATGTATAGCTTAATGTCATTTTCAATTTTACACCAATGCAAGTGTGATTTAAAAAGAATAGCTACAAAAAATATTAGATGCAGCTTACTGGTATGTGGTGCTATGATAAGCTAATTTTATAACAGGCCCACGGGCAACTCATGTAATCCTCGCAGGCTATGTTGATGACCCCTGGGTTGGGGTTACAGTTTTAGGAATTCTTAGATTTCCATAATGCTTTCTCATTTGAAGCACACATAACAAATTCACATTTTACATAGCATCTCTTCTCGTTTTCTCCCTACAGGGCCACCATCAGCTCCTCAGAATCTGCTTTATAATATCAACCACACCACCGTCAGCCTGGAGTGGACCCCACCAGCCGACACAGGCGGGCGAAACGATGTGACATACCGGATTATATGCCGCCGCTGCACTTGGGAGCCCGAGGAGTGCTTTCCTTGCGGGAGCAACGTTGGCTACTCACCGCAGCAGAGTGGATTAACGGACACCTACGTCACCATCACCGACCTGTTGGCTCACGCAAACTACACCTTCGAGGTCGAGGCTGTGAACGGCGTGTCTGACCTCAGCCGAACCCAACGCCTATTTGCAGCCGTCAGCATCGCAACCAGCCAAGCAGGTAAGACTTCAATTGGTTATTTGATGGCACAACCAAATCTGCATTTTAAATATGAATTCTGTCAGATAGGTAGAATGGATGTGGGTTTATTTTGTTATTGTTGCTTGGATTGTTTCGACACTCTACTTGAGCCTGTATCATTTCCAACATGCTGTATTTACTGCCTTTGGGATGATTTAACAAATTATCTGGCAGCCATTTTCCTGCAGTTCATAATTTGTGGTTTGGAGGCAGCGATACTGCGGTGAACAGCAACAGATGATAAATAATAGAAGTCACGCACAAGAATACCTCTCTCGTTTCCCCTTTTGGTTTGTATTGTCTGCCAGAAGAGCCGCCACCTTTAAATATCACTTACAGTCGCCATGGTTGACATTTCCACAAGACTCTTTGTTGAATTCATGATAAATGATATGAGCTTTCACTTTATCCCCTGAAATTAAATGGGTGGCAAATGCTTGCGTTGGTGCTGAAGTCATGGCCGCAAACATTATTAGCTCGACGAGTGGTTGCCTGTCTTTGGCTCTGTTTCTCTCACGCTCTCTCCTTCTCCTGGGAGTTGGCCATAATTTAAGAGCTGTTTCCGAGACTGCACATGCTAGAGAAATGCATGCTTTTTAATGAACTTTTTTTTTTTTAAATGGATCTGCAAAACAAGATTTCTTTTCATGCCCAAGCATCCATGAAATACAATTTGCTTTTAGATGCATACTGGTTCTGGTCATTACCAAGAGGTTAGTAGACAGTGATAGCTTAGTGCAGTGCTTCAGAGGCTAAAGTGGAGACTGCAGTGTTGTTGTATGTGCAAACAAACACTCAAATATTCGTACATTTTTCGTAAGTGTTTTTTATGAGTTTCATGTCTGGAAAAGTGATCCCATCATATGTGATGTGTTAATCAATGCTAATCAATAACTAAAGACAGTATATATGCAGTATACTATATGTTTTGTAAATAAAGCATATACTGTACATAGTCTTTCATTATATATTTAATAATAAAAATAATCACCATCATCATAATGTAGACATGTTGATCAGGTTAATTTATAAATATTTTTTCTTTATATATGTACCATTTCTTTAAATATAAACCTTGTTATATACTGTAAACTCGCAGACGTTTTTGTTCACATCCACATCCAACAGATGTTTTGATATAATGTTAGCATATACTTTTTATGTGAATTTATAATTTGAGATTTTACTGAAAATGTCACATCCATAATGCTAGAATTGCTAAACCTAAGTGTTATAAGTTATAAAACTTATAAAGTTTAAAAGTTATAAGTAATAAAAGTTATAAACTACAGTTATAAAACAGTTATTATATAGTGCAATAACATTTCACAATTTTACATTTCGTTCTTTATTTTTCATGAAATAAATGCAGCCTTGGTCAGCAGAAGTTTATTTTAAAACATTTAAAAATCTTACTAAAACACTTAAAAAAATAATTATAAAAAAAAAAAGTCGGTGCTAGTAGCCTAGTGGTACTGCGCGCTGATATATAACACCGACGTGCTCATGGTGACCCAAGTTCGATCCCTGGCTTGAGGTCCTTTGCTGATTCTTCCCCTCTCTCTGCTCCCAATGCTTTCCTGTCTGAATTATCAAAATAAAGGTGAAAAACCCTTAAAGAAATAATTATAAAAATCTTACTGACACCAAACTTTTGACCGGTGAAATATATATATATATATATATATATATATATATATATATATATATATATATATATATATATGCATACATAATACATTTAAAATCTGAATTCATAACCCCCCTAAAAATTTCACAGTTAGTCTTATAATATTTGTTTCTTCTGAAGAAAATCTCTTAAAAGCTTTTAATTAAAAAAATAAAAGAAAAGAAATTGAGTTCGAAATTTAAAGCCCCTTTAAGCTATGTTTTTTGATTGTCTACAGAACAAACCATCGGTATACAATAACTTGCCTACCTACCCTAACCTGCCTAGTTAACCTAATTAACCTAGTTAAGCCTGTATCTAGAATATCTATAAATATCTATTAAAATATTATTTACTGTCATCATGGCAAAGATAAAATAAATCAGTTATTAGAAATGAGTTATTAAAACTATTATGTTTAGAAATGTGTTAAAGAAATCTCTCTGTTAAACATATTTTGGGGAAAAAAAATAAACAGGGGGCTAATACTTTAGGGGGTTTAATAATTCTATTACGGATAGGGAGAATCAACTGTATAAATTTTTATTGGAGAAGTTTATTTTTTAATTAGAATTGTTCTCTCATTTTATACATTATCAAAGTAACTATATATTTTTTTATTGAGATACTAAGTGACTCTTTAAAACAGACCTTTTTGTCTACTGCATTGTGCCTCGAAACTCCTGCTTCCTGCTCCATTATGTTGCACTCAGTTTAGCTGTTTTTGAATACCTGAACATGTTTTATGTAAACATCGCCTAAGAAATGCAAAAAAAGTTATTTCATGTAGACCAATTAGTCATCGGGCCATTCAGGAAAACTCACAGACTCGTTGGTTCTGACAGTGTGCAGTTTTTGTTCATCCCTGGTGTTTTCCCACCTGCATTCAAAACTCAAGCTCTCATTTGCATTCTTGTTGTTTTTATGGTTGCCAAACAAAACAAGGTCAGTGACAGGATAATACGAGCTCACGCATGCACATGTTCACAGAGAGATGAGGAAAGACACACAGAGGGAGAGGCGATAATGACCAGCGGCCAGTAAAATGAGGGAGGGGAGAGAGGATGATGTATGTTTCATGACAGGGATCGTGACAGAGACACTCGCTGGAGTAAGGAGCCACAAGGACACGCGGACACCTTGGTAGGTTAGAGAGAGAGAGGAATGAGAGATAAGGGACAGAGAGAGAGCGAGGGAAAAGACCCTTGTCTCGAAGTGAGAGTCGTGCGTAATTATGTCTGGCATACTGACAACAGACAATTACACCAGCCACCCTGGGCAATATTTAGTCATTAGTTATTGTCAGATTGAGAAAATATATTAGTAAAGCCCTGTTTTCTGTAGTGGCACTATTACCGGTTTCATTTTTCTTGTCTTTTAAGAATAAAAGAGTAGGTCACTGAGATAAAAAAATAAATAAAATTGAGAGCAGAACAAAAAAATAAATAAAAACAATTGCCACATTTTACAATATCATGTTTAATGTTTGTTAATATATTTACTAACATGAACTAAAAACGAACAATACTTGTAGAGCATTTATTAATCGTAGTTGAACATTTACTAATGCAGTATTAACGTATAAAGTGTTTAACATTATGCACTGTTAACAAGAACTAGCAATGAACAACTTAATTTTTTTTATTACCTTTAACAAAGTTGAATGAATACTGTAGTAAATGTGTTGCATATTGTTTGTTCATGTTTGAAAGTACACGAACTAAAATTAACTAAACTTTACTTGAATATTATTATAAAGCAAAATATTTGAGTGGTAATTGATTCTAGCTTCCACGATCAACAGTCTAGTCATTTAGTTACAGTAGGTTGACTACTTTTAAATTTTGGATTTTCAACTACAAAATTAAAACACATTATATACTTTTAAAATATTTTAAATACATTTTTAAACATATAAATTTATCTTCTATAATGTACATATGCCTGAAAATAAATGTTTATTTTTTTCCCCAATTTCTGTTTATAGGAGAGATTTCTTCAACACATTTCTAATCTTAATAGTTTTAATAACTCATTTCTAATAACTGATTTATTTTATCTTTGCCATGATGACAGTAAATAATATTTTACTAGATATTTTTCACAACACTTTTTGACAGCATTAAGTGAAATTTAAAGACTTACCTAGGTTAGTTAGGTTAACTAGGTAGGTTAGGGTAATTAGGCAAGTTGTTGTATAACAATGGTTTATTCTTTAGACTATCGAAAAAATGTATAGCATAAAGGGGCTAATAATGATCTTAAAATGTCTAAAAAAAATAATAAAAACTGCTTTTTTCTTGTCAAAAAACAAACAACAAGACTTTCTCCAGATTCAAAAAAAATATTATCAGACATTACTGTGAAAGTTTCCCTGCTCTGGCAAACATAATTTGTCAAATATTTAATAAAGAAAAATAATCAAAGGGGGTTCTGATTTCAACTGTATATATGATTAAAGTTCCCAAAATTAATCTTCTGTCATACTCTGCTCACCCTTATGCTGTTAAAAATCATTAAGACATTTGTTTATATTTAAAACACAAATAAAACTCTAAATATAAAAATCTATATTGAAATCTGATAGATTTTTGTATCCCAGAAAATCTACTCACCAAAAACAAAAGCAAAATAAATAAATAAATAAATAAATAAATAAATAAAAAAGTAATTATATGAAGAGTTTAAATGCAAAAACCTCTAAATGCCGTTTGATATTTTATTTTTAAAATGAGCATTTTTCTCTGACTCCTTTGTGTAGGCTCAGAAATGTAACTTTTATATTGACAAAAAAATTATTTGCATTGCCTTTAAAGTGATATACTTGAACATAAACATGGGAGGCTGAGAAAAAGGCTCATTTTAGGAGAACATTTCAAATGGCATGATTTCGTATCTAAACTCTTCATATGTAATTATCGATCAAAAACATTGATCAGTAAACACAAAAAGACACTCAACCATACCAATTTGTCACAAACCTCATTGGTTTTTGTAGAAGTTCAAACTCATTGGTTCTTACAGACGCTCAAAGTGATGATTAGACATGCAAGAATCAACCTCATTGGTTCTCATGTGTTAAACAAGCATGCATTAGCTTATTATCAATCTGAATACTTTAAGTATTGTTAGCTAATTAAAAGATTAAAGTACACAATTAAGTTGCTCAATTTATATAAATGCATTCAAAAAATCTTTTTTATGAACATTTTGTTTTCCCAGAGATGGGTTTCAGCTGGAAGGGCATCCGCTGCGTAAAAACATGCTGGATAAGTTGGCGGTTCATTCCGCTGTGGCGACCCCGGATTAA